GCTGCACTGAGAGGGAAGGCGTCCATAGCTGCATAAGTTAGCAGTAGGGATAGGGCTGAGTAGCAGTGGATGTATTCAGAGTCAAGATTCTCAAGGAGAGAGAGGGAGAGAGAGAGAGAGAGAGAGAGAGAGAGAGAGAGAGAGAGAGANNGAGAGAGAGAGAGAGAGAGAGAGAGAGAGAGAGAGAGAGAGAGAGAGAGAGAGAGAGAGAGAGAGAGAAGAGACTCACCTACCTTAGATGAGGATGCTGGTATTGGGTTGCTGAATTCTGGGCTGTTGAGCGCTTGGTGACTGGATCTCCGAAACTGTTTAATGTGATAATTTGCTGGAATTTCTAAGCTGCACATATCTGGACTTCGCATCTCTGGACTCCAATGTGGATTTCGTGTAATCTCCCAATGTGTGTGTGTGCTCAAGGGGTCGAGCAGTGAGGCTCAATGTATCCCCTTTGTCCTGTTTCCAAAGTAGCCTGCCATGTTGCCTGTAGTACGACTACCCCACCGGCCTGATGCCCTTCGTCTCGTCAAATCACTGGCCGGCCTCCGCATTTGCCCCATTCATTCCCCAAGCTGTAACCCTGCTTAGTCCGCACCATACCACTGCATGTCCACCGCAGAAAGCTGCTGGGGCGAAAAGGGGTCAGGAAAGTCTGAGGGTGGATGCAACGGGATGCCGCCTGGTCCACCTTAGTTGAGTCATTGAAGCAGATTGTTGCAGAAAACCTATAGCAGAGCATGCCATACATAATGTAGAGGAGGAAGAGCACCAAGTAAGGAGAGCATCACCATTTCTTTGGAAAAGACCATGACAAATAGTTAAGGATCAGGATGAGGAGTCCTTCTGCAACCAAGATGGTGATGATGATGATGATGATGATGATGATGATGATGATGATGATGACGATTACGACGACGAGGAGGGGAGGACTGGAGGAGGGAGAGGAGGAAGAAAGACTTGGAGGAAGAGCGTCAGAGATGGGAAATGAAGATCAGACAAGGTTGGATTGTTCTGCCATAACCAGCGTGAAACACATAGTTCGCAATGAATGATGATGATGGTGATGATGATGACGACGACGACGAGGAGGGGGAGGACTGGAGGAGGGAGAGGAGGAAGAAAGACTTGGAGGAAGAGCATCAGGGATGGGAGAAGAAGATCAGACAAGTTTGGATTGTTCTGCCATAACCGGCGTGAAACACATGGTTCACAATGAATGGTGATGATGATGATGATGATGACGATGAAGAGGAGGGGGAGGAGGAAGAAAGACCTGGAGGAAGAGCATCATAGATGGGAGAAGAAGATCAGAAAAGTTTGGATTGTTCTGCCATAACGGCGTGAAACAGATGGTTCACAATCAATGATTAGGATGATGACGATGATGATGACGATGATGATGACGATTACGATGACGAGGAGGGGAGGACTGGAGGAGGGAGAGGAGGAAGAAAGACTTGGGGGAAGAGCGTCAGAGATGGGAGATGAAGACCAGACAAGGTTGGATTGTTCTGCCATAACCGGCGTGAAAAACATGGTTCAGAATGAATGATGATGATGATGATGATGACGACAAGGAGGGGGAGGACTGGAGGAGGGAGAGGAGGAAGAAAGACTTGG